CATTTCAAAAAGCAGCGTTTGCTGAAACATCACAAAATACAGGTGTGTCTGAATGCAATTGCTGCAGGGAATGACGTTGAGTGCCTTAGCGAGATCAACGCTGCGCGTGAGGCAGCTGGGCTGCCCAACTTCGCAACAGCTTCGGGCGGAAATAAGTTAACTGCTCCAGACGGAGCAGAGCTACAGGACAGCAACGAGTGGAAAAAGGTTTGCACGCACTTGATTCCGGTAAGCGGGACAGAATACTAACAATATCATGTGTACAAATGTTATCCTGCACTGTAACATTATCTTTTTCCTTTGCTCAGACGCAAGGAACGGAAACAATGGGTGAGCCAAGTGCAGCGAGTCCCTTTCAAGACGGAACATATGCTTTCAAGTCCCTAACTGCTGCGAAGCCTGACTGCAAGGAAACAGTTGATTACTGGAAGGCAGCCTACAAAAACTTCACTGGCCTTCCCCCACCAAAGACTGAAAGTGAAACACTCTACAAAGATCAAGACAACGTTTCTTTTGTAGCCCTCTACAACCCTTCATACAGTGCCACTGCAGACTGCCGAGTCGTCACTTGCACTCAAACGACTACTCCTGCTACAGATGATGAAGCAAATTATGCAGCAGGCGGCAACACAAAAAATGGCTACGCGTTGATTTGCAAGACGATGCCTGCTGCTTTTGAAAGTGACGGCTCTGCTTTATTCACGTAAGCAGCACTCTGGCCCTTGCGTCGCAGTGTTGCCCATAACGCCTTCATTGCTGTGAGTTGAATTAACATTGTCTACGGGATTGCGGGTGATTTGCAGGCAGGAGCAGTGGGACAGGATCGTATCTTCTCTCACCGGCTCCGCATCGATAGCAGTTCCAAGCTTTGTTGCTCTTGCCATTGTGGCATTCGGCGTCACGACTTTATTGTGATGCTCGTCCTACCAGTTGGAAAGCACGACCTGCATCGCGCTCTTCCTGGTTCAGTGTGCAGTCATGAGACATGGCAAACCTCTCGAGCGAAAAGGCTTTTCGCACTTTTCCAAACCACCACTTCACGGGCTTCTCGCGCTTCTGAGCCACAATTTAATCGCAACTCTACGCCATGCAAGCCTTTTTGCCCGTTGTATTTTCTGTAGCCATGAAAAGCTGTTTCTTTTAGCTTCGGCTCTGACAAGTTATGCCTGCTTCTGCAGCAGCAGCCGACCGTTCGCTTGTTTCGCCACAGGGAGAAGGAAGGTAGTAACGTCCAGTTATTAGGTGGCACATTAGTACGCGGTCTTGCCGAAAAGGTAAACTCATTAATAGAATAAAGTTGTTTGTGATATGTCTGGTGCCTCGAATGATATTAGAATGAGCTTGGAAGCACATTAGACTGCCTCTGCCGGGCCACCGGCGGCGTGTGCCTTCCGCACACACTTCGTCATTGGAACTGTAAAGAAGCCCAATGAATACCAGGAGTTATTATTAGCTGTATTATGCTGCGTGGTGTCGGCAGGAGGCCATTTGTGCAGCTGCAGTGGAACGCCGCTCGCTGCTACCAGGAAAGGCCACAACAGACTGAAAAAACACGGAAAACGACACCTTGCTGATTCAAGTGTTTGAGTTCTCTTTCATATTAGAAATTTCTGTTAGTTAGACCACTTACACCAGGCATATAAGAATCTGGCGTTTCCGGCCTGCCTCGCAGTATCAGACACAAGTTTCGATCCAGCTCTAGTCGAGGTGAAGAAGCACC